AGATGGCCTAGGGCCCTAGGCTAACCCAGTTAGGCCCCCTGGCTCCAAAGCCCTTTTCATGATGCCCTGCATGATGTCTCCTTCTAGTCCTTACTTTGGCACTAAAAAACAATATTGACAGCCCTGCCCAGTTTGGCCCAGTTTGGCTCAGTGGATTGAGTGTCGGCCTATGGACTGAAGGGTCCTGGGTTTGATTCAGGTCAAGGGCACATGCCTGGGTTGCAGGCTTGATCCCCAGTAGGAGGAGTGCAGGAGGCAGCCAATCAATGATTCTCTCTCATCACTGATGTTTCTATCTCTCTCCCTCTCTATTCCTCTCTGAAATCAATAAAATATATTTAAAATATGCCAGAGACCAATTCCAGCATGTAGAGCAGGGCTGACTCTGGGAATGGCTAAAGGCATTTCCCCAAACCTGAAAAGGGATTATTTCTTGGCTGCCAGACAGTTAAAGGGCATCTTAATCTACATGTTATTGCCTCCTACTGGCCAAACACCTGAACAGCCGTAGGCTAATTCTTTCATTCTGACAATGGACTCTGTACCAAACCATGATACTTTGAAGTGTATATCTCTGCCTTGCCTCAGGACAAATTGTGTTAATAAAAAGTATGGGGTCCTGGGGATGAGGAGAACCTAAGGCCTTAGACTTAAGACCTTAGAACTTAGCTCCTTTAGCTAAGGTCTGCTGACCCCCAAATGCCTTTCAAAATTATATCTCATCTCCGGACCCTTTATGAGTCTCTGGACTCTTATTTAACATCTACTCACAGCCTTCTCCAGATTCCTGAACCTTCTTGATGCTGGGACAAGAACCCTGGCAAAAATATATGTTTTTATTGATTTCAGAGAGAGGAAGAAAGAGACACATCAATGATGAGGAAGAATCATTAATCAGCTGCCTCTTGCATGCCCCCTACTTGGGATCGAGCCTCCATCCCAGGCATGTTCCCTGACCAGGAATTTAACATTGATTTCCTGGTTCATAGGTAGATGCTCAACCATTGAGCTACACCGGCCAGGTAGCTTTCACCTTTTGAAAGAATTATAGATTGGTCTATGCATTTAAATTTATCTACTTTTAATAGACAATTAGTAAAGGAAGCATTCTTTCCTGTTGTAAAAAACAATGTTATGTTATTGAGATAGCCTCAGAGAACAATCTTTTCATAGCAAGCTTCTGGGAGACAAAGAAATTAGATACCATAATTTACAAATAGGTGGCTGTATACTGGAAAAGACCCCTTCCAAAGGATTCTTTATAGCTAAGATTGGAAAGAACCATATCAGGTACTCTTAACTAGTCTGTGGGTTGCCCAAATTAAAAGAGTTGAATCTTGGATTTATGTTTTCCATTTAAAAAGTGCTCAGGACCAGATCGTGTGGCTTAGGTGGTTGAGCTTTGACCTATGAACCAGGAGGTTCATGGTTTAATTCCCGGTCAGGGCACATGCACGGGTTATGGGTTTGATTCCCAGTAGGCAGCTGATTACTGATTCTCTCTCATCATTGATGTTTCTCTCTCTCTCTCTCTCCCTTTCTATCTGAAATCAATAGGAATATATTTTTTAAAAAGTGCTCCTGCACCAAACTGTTGTATTGCCAACTAAAGAGTATTTTAAATTAAAATTTACTAAAAAGTGAAGCTGACGGCATCTGTTGTGGACAACAAACACAAGATTCCAGACCAGACCTGAATAATCTGCACCTGTGAATATTCCCCACGTCTTGCATGGTTCAGGGTTCAGGATCTGGAAGAGGGGCCACACACAAATGAAAGAGATGAGACAAGAAATAATAATTTGGAAATATTGGGGGCAAGGTGGGCAAGCCCAGTGCAAGAGAAAGGACTTACACTGGTGCCCAGGCCTCACTAACCTTTTATTCAATTTTGGATACACATCTAGCTCTTAGTCAGGCAGGTAATTGTGGTAACAGCCAGACTTTCTTAAAGGTCAGTAAATATTAGAAGGATTTACTCGAGACTCTTTGATCAGGAAATAGCTTGAGCTCCCATTGTCTGACTAGACAATCTGTGCATAACTCTGGCCCTTGCCATGGATTCAAAATTCACCAGCGTCCCTGGATCCTTGTTTGCACTTCTCTGATACTGAAGACAATGGGTGGCTTCCTGCATGCCTTTATTCTTCTTTTCTTATGTTAGCATTTTCCTATATTACAAATAATATGGGAGGCCAAACACTCACTATGATAATTATAATTTCCTTTCCCTCCCCTTAATTTCTGCCTGGAAGGACAGCTCCATTATTGTCACACCCCAACCATTTATGAAGTGCAAATAAGGATCCCGGAATGCTGCTGACCCTTGAACCCATGGCAAGGGCCTGAGTTATGCACCAATTGTCTAGTCCTGACAAAGGGGGCTCAAGCTATTTCCCGATGAAATAATCTTAGAGTAAATCCTTCTAATATTTACTGACCTTTAAGATATCCTGTCTGTTACTGCAATTACCTGACTAAGGGTTTTATGTTTAACCGAAGTTTAATAAAAGGCTGGTGAGGCCTGGGCACCAGTGGAAGTCCTTTCCCTTGAGTTGGACTTGCCCCCATGGCCCCCCAATATTTCCAAATTACACACATACAGCATCTGGCGCCTCAATGGGACATCTGGAAGAGTAGACTTTGCCTAGAGTGAAAAAATGAAGATTCACCTGCAAGGTGGGAAAGAATTCACCGTATAGGTGGGGAGATATTTCACCACATGCAAAAGCCCACGATCAGCTGCAGAAATCCCGATCTGTAAGTAGGGTGGGAACGTTTCCTTAGCCAGGCTAATGGAGCAGAATTTGGCTTAAAAAGTAAGAAAGTTTATTGTAGATTTTTGATTTGCATGCTTAAGGAATTAAAGTTTCAGAATGTAATCTCTTACAGATTTTGCATGTCATTATAAAACATAACCCTTGATTTCCTGAAGAAGGTACATTAGGTCTTGTATGTTGGGAAACAGCTGGTCAAAATTTGAAAAATGCTCAGCAGCAGGGAAAAATCTTGCCTCCAAACTGTTTCTCCTTGTGGAATATGGTATTTCATTTACTAGGGCCTTTTAAAGAGACTAAAGAGGATAAACCTGGCTGAATGCTCAAATAACTTATGAAATGTTGGCAAGGTTGGGACAATATAATGACATTCAAAATCAGCTAAATTATGTGCAGAAAGCTTATAAGTAAATTATACTTTGTGGTAAAGGTTTTCAGTGAAAATGTGTTGATGATAAAGGGCCAGTCA